ACAATGCCAATCCTCAACCCTGGCATCGCATCGCATCGCATATAGTAATTACTCGGTTCAAAAAAATTTAAATTCCAGTTCTCGATATAAAACACCCCAAACTTCTACAAAATTGGTAAAAAATTTCAAAGAAAACGAAAAAGAAAATATCTTATCAATAAAATCCACCTACTTAACCTTGTGTTTCTTTCTCCCCAAGGCTGCTGCAGAAGAACGATAGAAACTCTTTGCAAAGGAAACATAGATGGTCTTGCCTTCCACTGTATCAGTGGCCCACCCATACACTGCGAGAACTATTGCGGACAGCGCCAGGAGCACTGCAAAGGAAACCCAATACTGTTTAACCGTATATACACCTTCAAGCTCCTTGATCTGCGTCGAGAAATATCCAGTCATCAGAGTCACGGGGAGAAATAAAACGGTTGCCTTGGCTATGAGTATTGTAGTTCGAGTCAACCTTTCGACTGCCTGTGAGTCTTTGACGGCGATTAAATTGAAGACCTAAAAATGTGTCAGCTAGTACGATCCGAGAAGATGGTGCGGACATGGGAAGCTTTATGACAGGTTTACCATGAACGTCATTGACTCCTTTTCAGTCAAGCACCCATCAATTTCGCTTAAGGCGTACAGCCTAATCCGATCAAGAAGACGTTCGAAGCGGCCAATGGCTGCAGAACTGAGCTGGACGCCACCCAGGTCCGTCGGATTCGTCTCGTCAAACGCCATCGATCTTGAGGTGTTTGCTCGATTAAGGAAATCCAACCCGAAAGGGCTGCCACCATGATTTTGTTGACTCTGATGATGGTGGTGGTCGTGGAGACCGGGTCCAGACTGGGAGATGCGAACCTCCTCTCGAAGCAAACGCTGCCTTTTGAGAATGCGATTCACAATCAAGTCATAGCTCTGATAGAGCCGTTGGAGGACTGCGAGCTGCCTGCCAAGCGTGTGCAGCTCGTCAATTAGCCCAACCTCAGCTCGTTCCAGCATACGTTTTCTCTACTCTGGTCATTAGCAGAAATGAGGAATTCATGCGGTTACTTGAATAAAAATATAATCACTTACTAAACTATCAAGAGCAGCGTTATACGAATGCTCCCTCCCAACGACTAGATTATAGTTTGCGGGCCAATTGTCAAATAGGTAGTAGAAGAGCAAGCTAGGGCCTTCTCCAGGCTTAACTGCTGCCGTACCCGTCTCATTCGGAAAATTCCGCACATATGTAGTCATTAGCGGATTGCTATGTTCGCTAGCAATATGCTGCGACGATATTCCAGAGAATACTAAATTGGTATTACGTCGAATTACCTCGAGAGCTTTCTGCCGCTGCTTCTGGGGCATTTCACTTGGGCGGGGGAATGGATTTTCATGAATCGATATTACGGTTCCTGTAGCACCTATGTCAGGTTTCGGACGTTGGCAATCCAAAGTGGGAGAAGAATTTAGCCTGGAGAAAATCTGAAATATGAACAAACCATCATCACATATTAGGAGCCATGTCCAGACCCTTTTACCATCCGGTTTTCCCGGCGACGTTCCAAAATGCACACCGGAAGCCACATGAAGCGAATTATACCCCAAACAGAGATCTAATTTGGTTTATCAGCATCTTCTGGAATGTTGAACATTTTAACATTGTTGACGAGATATATGACAGGCCTGTTTTTTCATACATTTCTGCCCATAATCCACCGAAGCAAAATGCCATATCTTATTGACGACCTGGGCGAGTGAAATTTTGCTAAACCCGGTTCCGTCGAGCGAAGAAATTGCCGTTTCGGCCCGTTGGAGGCCCGCAAGCTGATGCCCTCGCTCCAGGTCTTCCGGGGAAGATCGCATGGATTTTCTTTCTAGATCAGGCTCTGTTTTGCTTATGGGTGGGCGATTGACAGTGTCTGCTGGGTTGCTTGGGGAGGTATCAGGTTCCGAAACCATCATTGCTTGGAGACGCGCTGAAACTCCATAGTCGCTCGTTACGGTCTGAAGGAAAGATATAAGTCCTGGGTTGCGTGCCATAATTTTTTTTTCTTTTTCCATGGCCTTAAAATTAGCTATCTCACCGTACCTGGGCTACCTCCCGTTGAAGTTCAGGTGACCATATATTGCTGTGATAAGTCCAGTCAGCAATGTCAAGGTTCATATAAAAACGATCTATAAATGCTTGACGGTGTAAACTTACATCCATCTCGTCTCGAGCGATTTGGGCCTCTAATTCCATCCAGTAAGTCACAGCAGGTCAAAGTTAATAGAACAATACATGGGTAGACAGAAAAAAAGGGGTAGAGTAAAAGTAAATCAAAAACATGAACATGCAGGCGAGCTCAGAAGCGCAGCAAAGTCTTGCTCATCCAGATCAAAAGCCGCATACGCCTCATCGTTCCCGAAATCGACTACGAAGTTTCGCGTTGCTTCGTCTACCAAACAACCTCGACATTCCGCAAAGTGGATGGGATTATCAAGGTTTCGAAAGGCATTCCGCAAATTTGACCTGTTGGGGAAGCTGGAATAATATGTCGCCGTAAGCTCGCGTGCGGCTCCGTTGTCATCCGTCCTGCTCGCAGAGCTGTTATCGTTGTTAGAGTCTTTGTTTTGTGTATCTCCTCGTGCTGCCATGTTAGCCGTCTCGAGTTTCTAGTCCGTATCGTCAACATATGACGAAAAACTATGAGTTTCGAGACTACGTTCCCAATATATATTCCATTTAATAGCGTAGACCGTATTCGGCACAGAACGAAAGGCGCGGGCGCTACCTGTGACCACTCACAAGGCTCTCCCATGAAGCTAACCCCAGGAAATGATCATCAGCTGTGGCTCACTAACAACGCGGTTGGTTGGTTGATAGCCCATGCCTGTGTATCAGGCCACAAAAGAACGGAGCTTCTCGGAGGTCCGCATTTGTGGATTCAACGCCCACGGACTCGATCACAGGGTCATGTGATGCTTCATTATTGTTTTGCAAGCCGTAACTAGATGAAGGAAACATCTTTTGTAGGAATAAGTTAATCAGTAATTTTAGTCGAACATGATTAACTAGAGCAGAGTTGCATGTCCAACCACATGCCTCATCCACACATTTAAACGAACTTCTGAGTTATCCAAGTTAAATTAATTCACGACCAAAGTTGGCCACCTTCCCATTTTGAAATTACTTTATAGTTGACTAGAATTTCTTCTTATCAATATAATTGATCTTTATTCTTATGCTTTGCTTTACTTTTTTGCGGTATGCTCATTTTAATAATAAGAAGTAGCTAATATCTAACAACTGCAGTAAACGAGAAAATATATATAAAATATTAATATTATGATTCAGGCAAATTTTATTAAATTCAGTTATAATATGACCATTATATTTTACTTGCAATTAACATTTTATATTTATTTTATATTCAATAAACTGTTTGAGTCTCAACATATTTATAGAATATCTCTAATAGTCATTTTAAGTTAAGCTTATTTGTAGTTTAGTTTCAGTCACTAATATTGATTACTGACAGCTTCTGCCTAAATTATACGCTTTAATATAACTTATCCTTTATTATATTGTAAAAAATGAAACTCAATCTGTAGCATTAGCTGTTTTAATCACAGTTGCTTTTTTCTATTTTCTAACTGTATAAAGGCTTATTTATTTTTTTTCTTAATTTTAATTACTACCAAAGCTACTGAGATGACTTTTACTAAAAATTAATTTTATTTAAAATTGTATATATTCATAACAAAATTTCACAATTACTTCTTTATAGTATTATTCATCAATTTAAGTCACTTATGTCAGAGTTTTAAATCCTCATATGATGCTCAATAAACAGTAATATTTAGGTAGAAATTTTGTTTTTAATTCAAAATGCTATTGAATAAATCTGTGGGCTTAATTAACTTCTATAATATTAGAAGCATTTTGAATCTATACTTCACAAGTAGTGAACTGGTCATTTTTTATATAATTGTGATTTAAAAAATACTGTTCTCTCTCATTCATGAACATCATTTATTGAACTTGAAAATTTTTTTTGTAGAGGTAAGTTTTTGACAGTTTGATTGTATATTTATATGTAAAGTTCAATTATAAAAAATGTCTACTAGGGTAATTTTAAAATTGTTATATGTCTTAGAAGTGGGTTGAATATTTAAAATTTGCTTGATTTCAGACGCTTTAATAGCTAATAAAAGTCTTCCTACTTGATTATGAACTTGCTAGAGGTGGCTGACATGAAGAATAATTTTGGTAAATGTTGTTGAGATGAAAGGTGGCCGACTCGGTGGTGATTGAACGAGCTTAAGAAAAAGAGCTTTTGAAATACAAATTGTCCTTCCCCTACTGTTTGTAGATAGTCCTCATGTATCAATCAGGCCTCGTATTACCTTTTTCGCATGGAATTACATAAATAGTAGATATCGGCCAAAGAACGAGAGCGCAAAGTTTCACATGGCAGCATCTTGAGACAATGAGAGAGTGTGATGTTCAGTTCTTAGTATTTTGCAGTTCAAAGGATCGCCATCAGCGTAAGATATGCTAAACGAAATACGTGTTGCAGCGCTGTTCTTAACTCATCCCTTGGCGGTTGAAGTCAAGGATAAAAAGAATCAACTATTACAATCACCCCGAGAATATTTAATCCCCTGATTTCCCACTTTCCTCAATAATCATCTCCTCGAGAGATTACTTCCTTGCAATTGGGCCGCGGTAGGACAGTCTATTTAAATGATTTCGTTAGTGAAAATTCCACTTATCTGACTTCGCGGATGGTAACTAACATGTTCAAACTGTGCGACATAAGAGCCAGGAACATCCACCATCGGTGCATAGGACTCAACAATGCCATTCGAGACAAGCTACCTTATGCCTAGGTGGTAGTTTTTCACTCCTATATGCTCAAGGGACCGCCTGGAGAAGACAAGAGTGCTGAAGTTATCATCGACGATTTTGAGCAATGACTTGGCAGAAGTATGATGAAGCCCAGCAGCGCTAACATGCTCATTGCGCCCGTAGCCGTAGACTCCTACATCAGCTCTGAGATAACCCTTGCCCGTGGTGCCGAAAGTTTCGATGGCGAATACATCACCTTCTTCCATATTTGCATTTTGACGAAATGTATTTGTTTGTCACCATGGATCTTGTAGCGTAAGATGTTATGGCCGCTGATGTTTCGAACAGCTTTGACGGGGATAGTCTTTCCGTTCAGTTCGACTTTGAAACTCTCCATTACCTCTTGGATTATTTCACTGATTTCGGCTATGCAGGAATCAAAACCAATTTCCTGAGCGTTTATTTTAGCTTTGCAGAACGTTATAAGGAGCATATTTCTCGTACCTTGAGCCCAGTCTTAGTGGCTGACCTGACAGCTGCGAGGAGATTATCAGAGACTGGATTGAAAGCAACAGGAAAAGCACTATCGACAATCCTGCCACTGACATGAACCCCGAAATCCACTTTCAAGACATCGTCGAACTGGAGAATAACCTTCTTTGCTCCAGGATTGGGAGTCCAGTGAGCACCTATGTTAGTCAAGCAGAGCCCAATCGGAAATCCCAGGACGGCCTTGAGGGCGTCTCCGGTCTGAATACCTTGGTGGTTAGTCAGTGCCCGAATGCCATCCTCAATCTCTTGGGCAAGCTTGCTCATCGAGATTCCGGGGTTTGCGATTGTTCGAGCATACTGGCGGACTTGGCGGTGAACTTAGCAGATTTGCGATAGTCATTCAGGAACTCATCATCCATGTTGTCCAGGACAGACAGGTGACGATTCTTCAGCAGTGTTGCGTCGAAGATCGTCATGGCCGTCCGCATATTCGACGATCTCGCCCACTGGATATCGCTGATCATGAAAATGGCTCGCGAGCACAACCCTTGGAGGAGTCTACTGTCCACCCAATCCCTTTCATTTCTTCTTTTTGTTGCTCTTTCGTTTCATTTCCTTGCCTTCTGGGATCGGTTTCAAGTTTTTAACCAAGAGATATTAACTTCTAAGGCGTACTGTTCTTGCCTGACTGTTAGATTTCAGGTCAGCTCCAATCTTGTCGTCGTCCTCATCCTCCCCGTCCTCATCTTCCCCTTCGGGCGAACCATGAAGCAGCCCACTTGCTGCAGCCAGCCTGGTAGGATTGACGGCAGCAGTTGTATCGCGTGTTGGCGATTCTGCCGAAGTATCAGAGTTACCAGAAACCCAAAAGCAATGTTATTTATTCCCATACCATTCAGACCTCGACGATGATTCTCTGGTGTCTTGGATCCCATAGACTACTTCGAAACGTAGTCATATGGGTCTTGAACTTGTCCAACGGGTAGTTGATGATGCCATATGATGTTGGGCTTCCCAGAGAATCAGAACAATGAGCCAGGAGAATAGATGTTTCCGGGGCTTGGCACCTACTTTACCCCTTTCGTGCTAGATTGACCTCCTCAAGTTCGAAATTTGACGAGGAGATGGAATGAAGAAAAGCTTTTAACGTATGCGGGGAAGCGTGTTTCAGAATAGGATTTGACAAGAATGGTGATTTGATCATACCAACTGTTCCTCTATTTCTACTGCTTCATACCCGTAAAGAACGCTTGATATCAAACTATTCTTTAAGAAAGTGATCGAAATGGCACAGATATAAATCTTGAGGTGATAGATGAAAAATAGAGGAGATTAAGAGAATAAATGATGACGGTAATAGAGCAAATCCATTGAAACTGGGCATTCCTTCTAAAACTTGGAAATGGTGCATAACTTTATGTTAATGGTAAAGCAAATCGGCTTCCGTCAGAAGAAAGAAATATAGGTTACGGGTACCCTCTAGCAAGAGTGTGTAATTCCTGTATTAGATATTTCTTTCCAGAGACAGGGTGGAATCATAGAAAAATGCATGACGTTGCAATTTAAGTTGTTGCAATTTAAGTTGAGGATGATCCCTCAATTGATTCATCTTTCACTTCAGATTCCAAACTGGCAAAATCATTTGAGTGATGTACTCGCGGCGCCTCGGTGTATGAAGAAACAACGAGAGGGAGGTACCGTTGAGGTTTTTCAGCCTATCCAAATTATCATTTCCTTCCCTACTCTGAGGGGTTTCATCGATCTGAGTTATGGAGCAACTATTGCACACCGACCAACATAGTCGGTGTGCAGCTCTGTCGATTTGTAGGCAATTCACGTGATCTCGGAAAACTCCAACGCCAGATGACTCAGGGCATATTGGGATACTTATATCCCGCCAAAATATCCACGCCTTCTATGCAGGGAAAAGTGTTGCGACTGGAGCTTTTGACCAAAAAATAAATGCGGCAATCAATCATTGAATAGTCAATTTTAGCAGCGTTACTTTGTCCTCATCTTCATACGGTGAAGAGATAGTCGGAATCCTTAGATCCTCGCCCAGGGAAATGGCATCAGAAACAAAAGTGATCCATGTCCCTCGAGAGTGGCCTTCACCGACCTTCGGTGAGCGTTTATGCCAACGCTACAAAGCTGCACGCCTCCGTGCACTAAAGGCGGATCCTCAAGCGTTCTTGTCGACATACGACAGAGAGTCGAAGTTCGACGACGCAACCTGGGTTCAACGCCTTCGGAATCCACTCTCCAACACATTTGTCGCGATCCGCACGGAAGCAGACAGCGCAGATATTAGCGAGATCGAACATGTCTCTCAGAACGAATGGCTAGGAATGATAGTGCTGCTTGGGCCAAAAGCATTTCCCGCAGACGGCTCCGAGTCCCAGACATTATGGAATCCATTTCTGCAACCAGCAAGCCACACCGAAGCAGCAGACCCACTATCAGTTGTCGACTCGGAGGCTGCTTATATAGCTGTTTCCATGTTTGTTCTGCCTGAGGCGAGAAGACAGGGAATTGGTCGTAAACTTATTGAAACGAGTGTTGAGGCTGCGCGGGTGGAAGCGAATTCGATGCGTGTGTTAAGGGCAAATATAGGACTCTGGGTGGAGGCGGAGAATGTATCTGCCCAGAAACTCTATGAGGCATGTGGGTTTAGATTCCTTTCAGATGATCCTGCCCTCACGGGTGCTCATGGCGTCAAGACTGCTCAGGTGTTCATGGGAAGGCTTGTGGAGCTGTTACATGTCAAAAGGTGAAAGCTTTGTTGTTTTGGATTTTAAGGAGACTGCAGCACAAAATGATGACAGCTTGAATAAGATTGTACTCTGTAGTACTCGGAGAGGCTGATGCCATTCCTCACCTCTCACCTCATGATTTCAGTCTACAACAGTTGCCTGGGTCAACGACTGCGTGATTCCTGCAGAGAGCCAGGAGCTAGCCCTAAATAGGAAAGTTTGGGCTACAGCCCCTGGGGAACTATCGAAGACATAGGAAGCTTGAGCGTCCCTCGAGATTGAAACGGGTGAGAAATGGTGTTATGAAGTGTTTGAAAGGATCGCTAAATTGCCACGAACTCACATGACTTCAACTCAACTGTAAGAGAATGAGGTTGTCAACAGATGGTCTCCATGTTATTACCTGAACTGTCGTGTTCATTCATAATACAGTCAGAAGAAGAATTCTGATATGAGACAAATGTCATGTGAGTTCATGGAGTTTTAGCCATGAAAAATAACAAATTACATGATTACAACACCAACAAAGGCTCCTTGGGGTGTAAATAGTACCATCATATATACCTCTAAGACAAACAAGACAAACACAAAAGGTAATTTCCCATTCTAAATTAGCGTCATGGAACAATGTCGCCGAGTAACTGGCCAAAGTATCGCTGACATCATAAGCCTCCAATTGAAACCTCTTTACTTTGTAGCCTGACAGTCGCATCTTGGAGAACTATTTTTTTTAACTATGAATCTTTACTACTAAATATTCTAAATATTCAAAATTCAAGTCTTAATTGGTCTGATCTAATTCAGGCAGCAGACTAACATACGCTGTAAGTAAAAACATGGTTGCCTTTGGACATGCGGACATGTATTTATTCTCTTGTCTAAATGACACAACCTAACATAGCATAGCCAGGAGAACCCTTCACCAACATATCCCTTATACGAGCAATTAGATTCGATTTACCGTCGCACCTGTCCTGCCACTGCAGATCAGCCAGTCAGGAGGGTATTTTATTTGTGATCATCGAAGTTAGAATTGCTCCAGATACAATGTTATCATTTCTAGGACGATCCCTCGGCCTCGTCCCAGCGTCTCCGCATGGATCTTCATCCGAATCAAGTTCTTCTGGATCCCCCTCCAGAAGCGTCGCCGGATCCTTTACGGACATATCCACTCCTGTTACAACTCCTTACTCCCCGTCCCCAACCGATGTCGGCCTTGTCCGTGGCTTCCTTAAGTCGACCAACCCTGCGCTACCCACGGAGATTGCAGACATAATTATCAATTATGCGGACTATTCAGTAAGAGATGTGGTTACTTTAGACACCAGTAGCGCTTTTAGCGTCTCTTCACGTGGCCCAGGGGTATATGGGTTGGTTCTGAGAGGGCCTCAAATCAGGGAGTTGAAGCAAGATGGACTGGAATTGAGGGATTTGAAGCTTGAGTCTGTGAGATTTGAAATCGCTGGCCATGATCAGGGATGGGGTGGGGAGTGGGGGACGGAAGGTATGGAGTTCTTCCTTTCAATTTTATCTTAAGAAAAAGCAATAAAACGCGAGCTGTGCGAGACCGGAAAATTTTGACATGAACTCCATCTAGGAACGTACAACTCTTCCTTCTCCTGGTTTGAAGCAAATATACTTCGTCGTTTACATCACTTGAGTGATAAGGTAGAACCGCCACCAGATTTAGGTCCGATGGACAAGTATACAACACCCGCGGATTACTCTAACGCCTATCGACCGGTCGGGTGGGACTTTGTCAAAGATGGGAATGGGAGAGAGTTGACTTGGCCTGTTCAGAAGAATAAAGTTGCAACACGTGATACGCAGACTCATGAAATTGTATGGACGGTGGATAGGAAACATCAGAAAGAAGAAGTCGTGGAGGATTCGGGTAGTGGGTCTGGGGAAGGGTTTATCCGAGCCTTACAGCCTGGCGATGTGATATTTCTTTGGGCTAGAGCTATCGTGAGTTGATTTCTCTCCATTGCGTTGCAAAAGGGGATAGGCTAATATTATTAGTATCCTGGATGGGCAAACTGTGTTGAGGGAGCTAAGATCGAGATCTCTTACTCCGGTTAGGCTCATTTCAGAACTGGTATCTCAAGTCACGAACTGACCAGGTATTACTCGCTTCTTGTGATGAATGAGCCCTCAAATAAATTGCTCCACATAAAGTGACAGAGATCCCGGCGGAAAGAGACAAGTATGTTTTGGAATATTTCCTTTTTCGTTGCCTACTGAAGGCTATATCGTCTAACAACCCACGTTATGTCTGCCCTTTATCCTTAATTGACTTGGTGAGGGAAATTATGGATTGATATAGCATATTGTACATTAATGAACGTTAGCCTTATTTGATTGCACGTCTCTATTGACTGTCAGCATTGGTGGATATTGGGAAATGCAAATCGGTAACTACGTGTCGGTGTGAGGTGTAATCGGGAAGTTGAGAGCAGGTGACAATGTGGTATAGCAGCAGTTCCGCCAATGACAATTATGTGGCTCAGGTTTTCCGACCTGATATTAGGGGCAAGCCAGATCATGCTGGTACTTTTCTGCTTCAGTGTTTAAGTGAGTGCTTCTGGTTGAATTCAACCGATATATCACGTGACAAGTAAATCCGATTAGGGCTATACCAAACCCAATGCGGCTAGACGCCTCCACACTGCAAACTCGATATTTCAACCAACATTTTTACACAACCTCCAGATTCTCTTGTTCCCCAAGCGCAAATCCTCACCATAAGAATTCGTTCTTCTGGAAGACTGTCTCCATCATGTCGAAAATCACAGTCGGTAAGTTTTGAATGGTGACGACATCTCTGTGTATGAAGCGCGTCTTGGAGATGGAATATGAGTTAACAGGTCATTTCGCAACACAGCCGGAGTGCGCCTAAATGTCCAGCAACTCCTCGATTACTCCCTGAACGAGAAAAAGAGAAATTTCCTCGAGACCGTCGAGCTCCAGATCGGCTTGAAGAACTATGATCCCCAGCGTGACAAGCGTTTCTCCGGCACCATCAAGCTGCCCGTCATTCCCCGCCCTGGAATGAGCGTCTGGTGCGTCCCCCAATAACCCTATTTTCTCAGCAGCGGATCAAAAGCGAATTGCAATTATAAATATGTGGTAGACGGGTAGCGTGTTCTGACTTGTAGTGCGATTGAAACAGTGTTCTCGGCGACCAGCATGATATCGATCGTGCCAAGCACCTCGGCGTCGACTCCATGTCCACGGAGGACTTGAAGAAGCTGAACAAGAACAAGAAGCTCATTAAGAAGCTGGCCCGCAAGTACGATGCCTTCATCGCCTCCGACAGCATCATCAAGATGGTTCCTCGCCTTTTGGGTCCTGGTCTCTCCAAGGGTTCGTTCTAACGCTTTCTAACCTCTACACCATTTGTTGCATATAGCTGACGAGCCTTCTCCTTTCCTTTGCTCTGTTATAGCTGGTAAATTCCCCACCCCAGTCTCCCACGCCGAAGATCTCGGAAACAAGATCAACGATGTGAAGTCCACCATTAAGTTCCAGCTGAAGAAGGTTCTGTGTCTTGGTGTTGCCGTTGGAAACGTCGGAATGACCGAGGATGAGCTGATCTCCAACATCATGCTGGCCATCAACTACCTCGTCAGTTTATTGAAGAAGGGATGGCAGAACGTTGGCAGCTTGACGATCAAGGCTTCCATGTCTCCCCCCAAGAGATTGTATTAAAAAGCATTTCTCGTTTTATATTTCTGTCCCTGGGATGTTGCAGGCCAATAGAGCCGTCGATCTGGGTCTTAATTAGGTCTTTGCAAAATATACAGTAACGAAACATGAACATTAACAACCTGAAAATTCCACTTGTATTCCATAACTTCGAGCATAGGATTCTCACCTTCCTGTTTTTGCTCAGTCCCATGTTGGGTAGAGCCCTTACTGAAGGAAAATTATTTCATCTAAAATGGTAAAACGAATTATATTTACATAGTATACAGTCAGTAACTATTTCCCATAAAATAAGATTCTTATCCTCCCTCACTCCATCCCCTCCATCAGATCCGTCTTATCCAAAATCATCCCCCGCATGCCAAGAAACTCCCTTAGATTCTCCCACTCCTCCCCTTCCTCCTCCCCAATCCTCATCGGATCCTTAAACCCCCACGCCACCGCAACCTTATCCATAGCCGCACGCTCCTCCTCACGCAGCCAACGCTGCCGCAATGGCATGCCAGGTATCCACACCACGCGCATCATCTGATCATTGGCAGTGGTAATCGCAACCATACCAATGGAAGACGTGAAACCTACATAGGCAAGAATCGCCGAAAAGGAAACCCAGAGAGCAGTATTGGGATCCATGGCTGATTGGAGTGTGGAGATGTATGAGGCTGCTGCATACGCTGCCGTCGGGGCGGTGGCTAGGCCTGCCAGTGGCAGCGCAGCTTTGCGGAAGATCTTCGATCGGTAAAAGGCCGGTTTGCAGAAAGATTCATCTATGATTGCGAGGCATAGGGCTAGGTTTTTCTTCTCAATAGCGATTTCGAGGGCAATGTTTGCAAGGTCTTTGGGTATTGCGCTTTTAACTGTCTTGGGGTTTGGGGTGTGGTAGGTGATGGTAGAACCGTTATCGTTTGGTACCGGTTTCGTAGCATAGAGTGAGAATATTTCGGGGAAGTGGTCAGCTTCCTTGAGCTGGGCTTGAAGTAGGGTGTAGTAGCGAAGGACTTCGGGGGAGATAAAAATTTTCGGGTTGCGGAGAAGATCGTTCAGCAATGATGATATCTCAGTTGCCACCCGCGATTGAAAATTTGACGTTTTGGACGATTTTGGTGACTGCTTGGGGAGTGTTTGTGGCGCGGACATTGTTCCAGTTCCAGTTCCATTGCTTCCGTATTCGACGTCGAGATCAAGGAGAGATGAGGTGGCATTGTTATCAGTATTCGTAGCCGAAGAGAAAACTGTGTCATAATTTTTGGAGAGTGCTATATTCACAACCTCGCTGCAGCGCTGCAGGAATTGTACCACGGCTTCATCTGAAGGGACGCGGGGAGAAGCTATCATGGTCTGGTATTCTTTAAAGACCATATGCAACATGGCCTCCGGGTCACCGTGAGGCTTCGCAGATGTTCCACCTGACGCAAATCTCCGTGAAATTCCATTGTGCAGAATGAAAGCCGATCCGAAACTCCGTTTTTGGTGTCCGGCATTTGGGAGTAGGGTGTTGAATCTCGTAGAGACAGTAGTTGACTGGGTGTGAACAGCAGCTCTTTCGCGGTACGGAATGGATTTCGAAAACTGGCATAGTTGACACACTGAGCCACGGACCCTTCTTGGAGCCTGAAGTGGAATGCACTTCATCACCAGGGAAGAAGCATAACCCAGCTTAAATATAGTTGCCTCTAAATTCATTTCTTATGATATAAAAGGTGATGTCAATCATGTCAAAGTGTCTGTCTCCACTAGGGAACTAATGTAATCGATAAGCGAGTCGGCCACATAAGCGAGTCGGCCACTTTACTCCCACTGTACAACAAGAATGCCTTCAAAGTCTCAACTATAAAGAAAAACTAGCAAATTACATTATAAATTATTTCCTATACACTTAGAGCATGTACGGGCAGTATGCCCAATAATCCCACATACACTACACTGTGGAGCTGCACATTTTTGTGGTCATGACTCAGCAGCCTCAACTACCCCCTGCTCCCATTCATTGATCCTTTGTATGTGATTCAAGCCTTCTTCAACCCTCAAAGCACTCTCTTGAGCTACATACATACAGCCTCTTTCTCACTTCTTCTTTTGTTTGGCATTTGCAGCCCTTAACTCCCTGTTTTCAGCTGCTAGAATAGCAGCACTGTGCATTGTCATTTGACACCCCTTGACTAGCTGACTTAGGGCATGATTGGTTGGACTGAGTGGGCTCTGCATATGATGCTTGATATATCCTTTAACTTTCTCAGCCTGCTGCTCCAATTGGTGTATATTATGTGGTGTGGCTGTGGCCCAGGAGGCCTGGGAGCTGTGGGAGGTCCCTGGGGGGGTGAGGATATGCATCATGATATTAAGCTGTGAGAGAACCTGCTCAGGATCATATGGAACCAGCCCAGCAGTCCTAAAGCTGCTCTTGATGTTGCTCTCAGTCAGGACCTGCATCTGAGCTGCAGGATAGAGACCCAAAAACTCCTCCTTATCAATATGATTGATCCCAAGCCGCATCTGGTTTTCCACCTGCTGTCCATATGCAGTTTTCAGAGATGAGAAGCAGCCAACATCCAATGACTGAAGAAGATGAGAGGAATGTGGTGGCATGTAGAGGGCAATGATCTGATTCTTAGTGCAAAATTGATCAAATCCAGCTGAGACATGGCTTCAGTGCTAATCTAGAATCAACAGTCAATATCTGCTCTTCATACAGAGTAGGGTCTCCTTGTTGAACATCTCTTTCAGCCAGTATAAGCTCAGCTGATCAGTGGTCCAGCCATTCTCACTGACTCCAATCACCCAGTCATGTGGTAGCCCTTCTGTCTCATACCAGCAGGATTGATGCATCTTTCCTTTGAGAATAATCATTGTATGCAAGGCTCAGCCAGTTGCATTGACTCCAGCAATAACAGTCACCCATTTCCAATCTCCAGGCTGTATAAGCTTGGGATTCTCAGCTCTTTCAGATCCAGTCATCACCCTGGCAGTCTCAATTACACTCATCTGAAACCCAGTCTCATCAAAGTTGTAGATATCATCTTCCAGAATCTCATACTTCACAATAGTGTTTTGTATGAGCCTAAATCACTCACAGATAACCTCAGGATCCTCACATAAGGCCTGCTGATGATCATACTTGTGTGAGAACTTGGATTTCAGCTCATCATGGTGCTTGACAAAGTTTCATACTCAGCATTCACTCACTGTGAGTGAGGGATTGAATTCTCAGCTGGCAAGAAGAAGGTTGGCCATTTCTTGTACAGCTGCAACCTGGGGAGACTGATCTCATTCATCCATGACCAGAATCCATTGAACAAGAGATTCTTCCTCTGTAAGACTAAGTTTCTGGTTCTTTGAGGGAGTGTTAACGCGTGCTGTTCAACCATGTACCTGATCACCTAGGGTGGAATGTGGAACATCATACAGCTTTGTTGCAGCTCATACACTTGAAATTTGACCATTTTTAAATGCTTGAATGGCTAAAAGAAGCCTTCCTTCCTGAGTAGAGGCTTTATTTCTTTGTGTGGTTGACATTTTTGATGATGAAGATGTTGTTCTGGGATGAGATGAAAAGTGGCCGACTTGCTTATGTGGCCGACTCACTTATCAATTACGTTAAGTTACTTAGCTTACCTAAGCCCATGGCGTTAAACTTTGCCTGGAAGCCTCATTATCTTCCAGGTTATATCACTGCCACTCTCTAATGACTACACTCTCACTCTTATATTGACAAATAGATATTTTTTTATATGATGATAAATGCCTTATGCTGAGGCTGTACTGCAATAGGAGTTAATATTCCTTCCTCCATTTCTTATCTTGTCCATTCTTGCATCCTTCTCTTCTCTCACTTAATTTGGGCCGCTGACAACTGCCTGCAAATCCGCTGCAACATGCCCCCCCCCCCCCCCCAACCACCACCTCCGCCTCCTGTGGCTGGCGGCCCTCCTCCTCCATCTCCGCCCCCTGCAGTTGGCGGATTACCCAAGGCCAGTAATCTACCGAGCAGAGCGCCAAAAGCAGTTGTGCAAGACCGGGTATGATCTCGTGGACCCCTTTAGAATATTCTCATCCAAACTAACACCTGCTGCTTAGGGAGCTCTTCTCTCAGATATCTCGAAAGGCACCCGCCTTAAGAAAGCCGTAACGAATGATAGATCTGCCCCTATGATTGGGAAGTCGTCCGGAGCATCTAGTGGCCCTCCTATCGGCGGAGCACCTCCCGTACCTGCCGGGATGCCTAGACCCTCGGTTGGCCTAGCACCGCCAGTCTCGGGTGGAAACCGATTGCGGAGTAATAGCGACGAAGGGCGTAGAGTAGTTCCTACTGGTAGTGGTGGTGACGAATCTGGGATAATTTCTTCAGCACCTCAAATAGGTGGATTATTTGCTGGCGGCATGCCAAAGCTGAAGAAGCGTGGTGGGATTGATACCGGCGCGAACCCAGATGCCTCATACCTCTCAGACTCGGAACACTCCAGAAAACCAGGCCCATGGGCTCCTA